AGGGAGTTTATTTGCTGTTCATAGAAAGCAGATTGACTTATTTCTTCATGAGGTAAGAGAGGAAGTTCTTTTTCTTCCATATCTTCTTCATATTTGACACAAAAACAAATATATTCACCACTAAGAACATCAAGGTAATGTCTAGTTTGTAATCTGCCACATTTCTCACATTTTTCTAGTTCATCATTTTCAAACTTTTCCTTACAGCTCTCACAAGCTACATCATCTGCAACATATTTACCATTTGTTTTAATATGAGCTACTATTTGATTAACAGACTTATTATCCTCTCCATAAAGATTAAAACAAAAATCACAAGTTTTTCAACTTGTTCTTTCTAAATTTAAAAGTGTGTAAGTTAACTCTCTCATTAATTATCTGTTTACTTCTATTCTAGCAATTAACACTTGGATTTGGTGTTTTTTGTTCTCTATCAATTGATTGAATTTAGTTTTTGTCTTTTCCTTAAATAACTTAAATTTACTTTGTTTTTTAGGTAAAGCAGGTAAATCCTTTTCAAATAAATGTAATTGGTTTTGCAACTTTTTGTTTTCTTTTGTAAGGTTTTTTTTTTGCAAATCTTTTCTGAAATTATCTTATTAGATGTTTCTGCCTTTTCCCTTTCTTGAACTAGTTCTCACTCTAACTTACTAATTTTTTCATTGTTACTCTCAATTGTCTTACTAGAAATTTTAATTTCTCTTTTATGTCTTCTGCTTGATTTTTGCTTCATTTTTCACCAACTGTTAAGATTTCCTTAACTTTTCCTGTTCTATTTTTACTCTTTCTTCTAATTCTTCTACCTCTGCTTCCAAATTTTCTTGTTCTGCTTCTAATGCCTTAATTTTCTCTTTGTATTCTTGATTTTGTTTAACTGCTTTAAAAGTTAATTCATTCAAACTATTGACTAACTCATCAAGAGAAAGATGACTAAGGTTAAAATAATCATAACGAACTAGACTCATTCTATCTTCTTCATATCCTTTTTCTAATATACTTTTTAGAGTTAAATTATCTTCTTCTATCTTTTCTTCATTTAATCATTTTCTAAATAATTCTTTACTTTCTTCCAAGTTTAATTTGATGAGGCTGATAAAGATATCTCTTTTAGCCTTATTTCTCACACTCCCATGAACACTTGATTGCTTGTAATAAGGATAATATTGATAAGTATTGAGAACTAAATTCCTGCGAGCTGGTTCAGTAGGATATAATTTACAAAAATTAGACCACTTTTCTTGGTCACAATAAACTCTCATAATTTCACCAACCATATCTACATTAGGATTGTCAGTATAATGACTTTCACTTAAAATAATAGCTATTCATGCTCTAATTTCTTCATTATTCAACTGTTTAAATTGTAAAGGTGCTTTTAATTTTTCTACTTATTCTAATAGTTGTTTATTTCTCTTTTGGAGTTCATTTATTGTGTTAACATTTTTTTTTTATTTATTCTTTTAATATATACCTATCCCTATATATATAATTTTATAATTTCATGTTCATTTTATATTATTTTTATATTTAATAGTTTTAAAACAATTTATTAAAAATAACTTCTTTTATTAATTTTTCTTTTCAATACAAAAGTTCTTTAAATGTTTTATTTACATATATGTAGTAGATTAGATGACCATAGATGTTAATGTCTCTTATATCAACTTTTAAAGTCAATATTCACATACACAATGTGCAATGACATAAAAAATCATGCTTCATTCATTTAAGATATCACTTGCTCTTTCACAATTTTACCATCTTTCAAACATGCATACATTTGTACATCATCAAATTTTTCATTATGTCAAAAATGGGCAACATTGAGTCCTTGAATTTTCTGTTCTTCAGATTGATACTTAGATTCTCTGCCTCATAATATCTATCCTCCCAAGTGAAGTGAACAACCCAAATTGCAGTAGCAATTAGGACATCACCTAAGGTTGCTTGCTGAAACCTCTTAGTGACTGTCAAAAAATTGTCAAAACTCTAATGAACAATGACATCAGGAAAATAGGTACAAATATTATGCGTATATAATACACAATTGCAGGGATTAAGCATATAATATGCGTACAATTTGCATACATAAAAAAATACGTGATTTGTACACATATTATATGCTTAATCCCTGCAATTGTGTATTATATACGCATAATATTTGTACCCATTTTCCTGATGCTGCAGTAATATAACATTACTTATTGTCATAAACAATTTTATAAAGCTATTGGAAAACAAATACCTTGGTCATATCTTGCAGTAAAGTTTGCATCCTTCTTCAATAATTTCTTTTAAAATGGTACTAAATAGTTCACAATCATTACCTTCTGTTTGCAAGCTATGCAGAATTCCAAATTTCATGCAAATTCTACTTGTGGTAATTTTCCTAATAGTTCATTCTTTAAAAATTCTTGCAAAAATTAATTATTAGTTTCTTCAAGCACTAATTGAACTGTTGACATCTAGCATGGTAGGCATTCGAATTTTTCAATAAATAATTTAAGTGACAGGAGCAGTTCTGAAATGGTTCTTCACTCTAAGAGGTGACAATTATCAGCTGTCAAGATTTCAAGGATGGTCAATAAGCAATATGCGCACCGAACATCAGTGTAACTGATCGGCTATTGTTGAAACAGTTTGGTTACACGATTCGAATATATATATTAATAACAATAATATCTGGGTTGTACAAGCGCAAAACAATCTTTTTTTTTCTTTTCCTTTTCTTCCATTTTTTATTAAACAATAAGACCATTTTATGGAGTCATCTAGTTGTAATGTGTATTTTTCTTTAACATCTTTTATTTATTTATTTATTTATTATTGTTAAATATTATTATTATCATATTAAAGTGAATATGTTGATTTTTCTTATAAAAAGAATTCCAGTTATGATGATGATTAACATCATGAGCAATACAAAACTCTTAGATTGATGTGTCTTTCATTCACAACAAAAATATCCATTCACACTGTCTACTCTGGAGAAAAAAAAAATATCTCAATCAATAGTTTAATTTTTTTGCAAGAATCCACCAATGAGGAGAGATTGATTTGTGTGAGAATATTTTTTATCATTATATTATTTGAGTTGTTGAGAATCTTCAATGATGGATAATTATTGGTGTCAAGTTGCAGAAAAATTTACTTTTCATGGAAAGGATCTCCAGGAATTGGTAGCTATAAATAAAAGAAAGACAAAATAAATAAATCAAATAATGAATGAATAAATAAAAAAAATTAAATCAACTATATTTCCTTTTTTACATTTTTATATTATATTATATATTATTATTTTTGAATTATTATTAATATATATTTTTTATTATTATTTAATATATATCATTTGTTATATTAAAAAAGAAATATTGAGCAAGGATAGTTAATAATGGTATAGAAGGATGAAATGAAATGGACCTGTAGGCTTTACGTTTCATTTCTGAATGAAGATCATAAAACATGTTTACTTGATATTTTCTATGCTATTAAACTTAATATAATTATTAAACTGGATGAAGATATACTTGCACATGATTGGTTACGTTAATGGATTTTGAAAAAAATCTTCATGCCCTCATAAAGCTGTGCTCTATTACATTGAGCAAAACAGGAGATTTATTTATAAATCTTTATATGGGTTGTTTAATCTGCTGGGGATTATTCATTAGGTTATACTGGTATATCCATAATTAATCCCGTACGTGCGTGTATAATCTTCGGAGAAATACATGCGGGTTTATATTACTGGAAGGACCATAGAAGATCATGCAAGGCTTTCAGTATTTGGTGATAAAATTTATTTGGGATAAATGAATTTTTGAACTGTATAATCACTGCTTGCATATTATGCAATCAAATATTGACAAGAAAGAAAAATGGAGTTGTTTATTACTTCTCTCCCTAAAAGAAAAAATATGCTGGTTTATTCCATTTATCCTAATCAATTAGAATATTGGTTAAAAAAGGATTGTTGTTAGTCATTATCTCTGAACGACTAATAAATTATGAGATTACAAAAAATTATATTATTATTTGGTGGCTATAAAGGTAAATATAATTTTCATTTAAAAAAAGGAAATATAGTTGAATAAAAAAAAAATAAATAAATAAACCAAAAGCCAAACCTTTAACAACAAGAGTTTTTTGACTGTAAAGAAAAATAATAAGGCAAGTTAATTGATTTATTATCATCAATTCATGGTGCCTACTTGCTGACTTACAGTGTGGATCAGAATGAATAGAAATCAATGAATTGATTTTGTTATTAGTGAATAATTTTGTTTAAAGATAATAATTTTAATAAAATATTTATTTTATTTATTTAGTTTTCTTAGTCAAAACTAATTAACTTATGAGAAAGTTACTTTACAAGTACATTGAATTCAAGCTCCTTATATACAATTCAATTAATTAGTAATTCTAATATTTCAAAATTGAAATTTCCGTTCAATATTGAAAAGTTATTTCAATATTGTAATAATATTTCAAAATTGCGCCGATATTTCAAAATTGAAACGATATTTCAAAATTGCGCTAATATTTCAAAATTGAAATATTGGAAAGACAATTCTTCTTTAATAAAGTTAAATAAATTACGACGTTATACAAATAATTAATAAAAATTGAATTTCAGAATTAGTTAAATTCGGCCAAAAGAGCGTCCAAATCTAATTCGGTAACACTATTAAAAACTAAATTTATACGTATTTTTCTTGGATAAAATTAATTCTACAACCATTTTTACATCATAAATATTTTTAGTTGCTTACTCAAACCTTTAAATTTTATATAGTAATTTTATGCAGGAATCCAGTGATTCCTACATATAAACATAAAATATTTTATAAGAAAGTCCCTTTGAAAATTTGTATATTTAAACTTTGAGATTCATATCATGTGTTAGAAGTACAATTTTAGTTTATATCAACGTAAAGGATGGTTATGTTGGGGGTGAAAGTTGAAGTGCAAGTTCTTTAGAAAAACAGATGCCTTCACAATCAGGTAAATCTGTGACAACAAGTTTGTTAAGATCCTCCTCTTCATTATCAAAGTTAGCAACAAATTTCCTTTGTTTACCAAATCTGATAATATAGAGACCCACAAACCCTTTAAAGTTAATCAAAAATTTTTCAACAATTTTCTTTTTATTAGCATTATTTTTACTTGGTATTTGATCAATTAAGATTGCTGCATAAAAGTTTGTGCATTTATTGACCACTACCCAATCTTGTGTCATACTGTCATCTTCCACATTTGAAACAGAATTTCTAATAGAATTAGACATGTTTGTTGAGTCTTCAATAGAATGAGGTGGGGTTGGTTCTTTTTTGTTAATAATAGATGCATTTGCTGATGTTGCAACTGTTTGATGTGTATTTGTTGCATTTTCATCTATTTACATCATATTTGAATTAGAAGCTTTATTAACTTCTACAATAGATTCTTTCTCATGTAAAATATGCTTTTTATTAGCTTGTTTTCTAGTTTTGGAGTTATAATGTTTAGTCATTCATCGTATTTATTATTATTATTTGTTTTTTGATTTTTATTATGCAAAAAAAATTTTTTTTGGTAATTTTACATTTTAATATTGATATTAATTTTATATTTAATAATAAATTCCGATTTAGTAATTTTACATTTTAATATTGATGTTTTGATTTAATAATTTTGCATTTTAATATTAATATTAATATTCAGTATTTAGTAATTTATGTTTTAATAAACTTGTCCCCATTAATCCTATATCTGCATCTGAATACATTACAATTGATGACACTGAAAAGGATCGTGAAATAGGTATAGATGAGAAATAATTTTAATGATTACTCCAAATGAGCAAAATCAAGAAGAAGAAGAAGCCATTGAAGAATTAAACACATATATTGACCAACAATCTAAAAGTTGCAACTAAACAATAATGAAATTAAACCATTAAAAAGTCATAATTAAAAAAAATAGAATTTGATTCCAATCAACAACCAACGTTAGATACCTTTTTAACTAATTTGTTATTTTTGCAAAGCAATTATATATAATTTTTTTTATTTTTATTGTAATTTGCAAAACGGTTATATTATTTTTAAATTTTTTGGTGCCACAAAATTTATTTTACAAATCGGCAAGCTTTGCAAAATTACAAAACGCAAAATAACTCTTAAACTATGTGATATATTCAAATAAAAATTTATGTTTTAGATTAACTTTTTGATACTCTTTAAACTAATAGAGAGCTTTTTGAACTTTTTACAATTTTACTTGCATAAAATTTTGTAACATATATTCACAACTTTTACTTTGATATAATCGTTCAATAGCAAAAAATTGTCTTATATGAAAATTTACATATATGATCGACTATGTAAAATCATATAATGTATGACTATCCCATTCCACTATGCTGGCTCTTGTGCTGCCAATGAAGATCTACATAGTTGGCTCGCCCCAACGTTACACACAATTGAAAGATTTTTAGAATGAGTCATTCTGAAAATCATATTTTGCAAAAAGAACGAGATATTTTAGTAAGATTTAATTTTCATACTTGTTTTTCTTTTAATAATAATAATAATGATAATAATAATAATGTACAATCTTTAGGCCAAAGAATTAGATTGGTTATTAAACTCTCAAATTCCAGGTTTACTAGAGAGTCTGAACAAAGGCTTAAAGGTTATTCAATGTCTATAATCGATCAAATTAATTGATTAATATATTTTCTTGTTTAAAAAAGTTTATTTTTTTTTAAACTAGAAATGTGAATTACTTATTAAAAGTCCAGAAAATTATGGTATTAATTAAAATACTTTTACTTAAATAATCACACAATTAATAATAATAATATTATTATTATTATTTAGATTTTTTAAGTACTAGCACATTAGCAATATCTTCAATTAAGTAAGAATTTAACATTATAATAGAAGTTCAACCTTATTATTATCTAAAATATATATTTACACATACATACATATACCATTAATAGCACCGACACATTAAAAGGATTTGTTACTTTGGATGGCAGTGATATTATTAAAGGGGTAAGAAGAATAACAAAGCTATTGCTATTATTATATTTGGATCTTTTTTTATTAATTTATTTTTTTTTTTTTAGGAATTACAAATAAAATTACCAAGTTATAATCGTGGTAATTTTATTAAAGTAACAATAAACAGTAACAAGTCTTATTTTATTGAGCAGGTATATATATTGTGTAAATCTTGTCAACATTGATTAGTTAACACTAGTCACTAATAATAATGGTTATATGTGATTGCTAATAAAAGTTTTATTTCTTCATATAAAAGTTAGGAGATGCACAAAATTACATTGCCTTAGCCTTAGACGAATTAAATACTTCAAAAAGAACTTCTACAAAAGAAAATGCTTGCCAAGTAATTAAACTGTTTCTTCATTGAATACTGTATAAATCATATGAATTTTACAAGTATATTTCTTTTAAAAAAAAGCAATAATTATATGTATTTTTAAGTTATTGGAGAAAATTTTTAAATATATACAAAATAGCCATGTTTCTTTAAATCACACTAATGAAGAAAGATTATTCCCTTATAAAATCTGTGATTCACGGGTAAAAGCTTACATATATATATTTTTATATTCATCTTATATTATTATTTTGCTTTGTTTTTTTCCACCCAATTTAATTATTTATTTTATTCCTTTAAGATATTTAATTCTTTGCCAGAAGATCTGGTAGTCCAATTTCATGTAGAAGGTTCATATATTATTACATCAGTTTATTTACTTCAATATCATTTATCATTACCACAACAAAAACATGGAAGTTTATTAGGAATATCAAAACAATCACCAAAAGTCTGGTAATTTCCTCCTATTTATTTTTTACAAAATTTAATGATAACCTTTTATTTCCTTTAAATACTAAATTAATTTCTTTTAGTAAATATAAGGATAAATATGTATCAATTTTAGATGAAGTAGTTGTCAAGTCATTGGATCCTAAATTAGAAGAGCTAATGGAAAATATTAAGAAATTAGAAAAAGAATGTTTATCATGGAAAAGTAAAATAGAATTATTCTAATAATAGTAATAATCCTGTTTTTTTTTTTTAAGAATCAATTAACACAACATGGGAAAAATTCTTCAAGCCTCTAATATTATTATTTAAATTTTTGAAAAATGATGTTATTTACCAATTAGTTAATAATCATTTAAAGCATATTTCAATTTGATTATGTTTTTTCCCCATTAGATTATTTAATTCTTTTGAAATCATTTAATACAAAATGTGAGTGTTAATATTGTATGCATGTATTTCATTTTATTTCTCATGAAAAATAAATAAAATCTTGCTAAAAAGACTTGGAACATAATTGTTTAATTGGGATATATTTTTGACATCAAGTTTGATAAGTCAGCCATTGTCCAGCCATTTGTGACCCCATATATAAATCACGTGCTAGAGAAGATCATCACACAAGGAGTACTTTATTTTCGAAATAACAAGCTTTTAAACGAAAACGTGACAGCGAGCTTCGTGTCTTTTACTCACACAACGACATCACTCAGGTCAAGACAATAATAG